TGTGTGTGTGTGTGTACATCCATTCAAGCATGCTACAGTATCTCAGCAATCAGCACCCTGCACATTCCAAACCCTAAGTGCTAGCCCGCAGCCTGGCAGCAGTGCACATGCCTTGATGCCACAGCCTGCTGTACTCCGTAAACCCCCGATCTCTACGCCTAAATCCGAAACACGATCCTCAACCCCAACCCTAAACCCTAAACACTAACCCCTAACCCCTAAACCCCGATAGCAATGAATGAATGTACTCTGTGGGTTTCCTGGCCCCGCACCCTTCTTGCAGATTCGCGGAACCAGGGAGCCCTCCTTGGTCTTGCTTCTTTTGAAGCTTCCCGAGACTCCCATGACCGATGATTGAGGCTTAAAGGCTTACATCTGCTGGCAGGGGGGAGGGGTATGGGGGGGGGGGACGTGCCAGCAGGCAGCAAAACTTTTACAGGGCGAGGCGTGGCTGTTTCCACGGTACGAAGGCTCTATGCCCTATGCCTCAACTTCGTCTGGAGAGAAGAATTAACACCACAAGCCGGGAAAACATGAAGCCAAGCGATTTCTGAAGCAGTTGGTTCCAAGAAAACCCAGAAGCCGTCTGCACTCGAGGCTCCTTTTAGGGTAGAACCCTGAAGTAGGACCTGGGTAAAAGAACTTACACAACCTTCCTAACCTTGCAATCCAAATATGTCTAATTTCTAGAAACTAAGAAGTACACCTTCTTTCCCACTCTCCATAAACCCAACTCAACCCCACAAGCAGGCTTTCTGCGCGAACGAGGCGCTGGGCAAAAGCTGCCCTTGTAGCATTCCTCCGCCAGCAAGGACGTGGGGCCTCATTGTTTTGGATTGGGAGTGGAATCTCGACTCTCAAGTGAGCAAGCAGGGCGGGGATGTCTGGCAAGAGTTCGGGTTGAGGGCGCCCTCACACTCAGATGAAAAGCTCGGCTCGAACACACATGGAAGCACTCCTACACTCTGCCTAAGTGCTGTCGGATATTAGGCTCGGTGCTGTATCCTGGAATCAGAAAACGAATGAGAAGACCTACCCAGAATGCAGATCTCGAACGCAAATCGGGAGAAAAGGGGGGAGAGCTGAAACAGCCCTGTTTTGACACGACAAGGCCCGAAACCCTACCACATCCTAAACCCCTAAACCGCTCCAAGCCCCTCATGGCCAAACCCCCTGAAACTAGCTGAGGAAAGGGCAGTAGTACCCAGCAGGACAGGGCCTTGGGGTCGGCGCGGGGTGTTGTAGGAGTTTTGATTCGGCGACACTCTGACATGTCAGGGGCTTCGGGCTTTAAGGCTTTGGGTCTAGGCCTTTGAGTCCTGCGGCCCTGCCACTCAACCTGTTGGGGACTGGCGTCTGAACGCCTCTGCATGGACCGTGAACGCTTGACCCAATGACTTAATCCTTCTGCTATCTTATACTCCGAACACCAAGGCACCGAATGCAAAGACCCCCCCTGATATGGGAGCTTTATAATCATTCTTCCGAGAGTTCCAAGCCCAGCGTATTTTCGAGTTCATCTATAAGTTTTAATTAGTAAGATATACGACAAAGAGATATATCAGAACAACTAAGTTTTCGAAAACGCAGCCCTGCATTTCGACGCGCTCTGTAATTCGAAAGGGCCGCCTTCGGAGATACCCATAGCCAACCGACCGACAGACATCCACAGAGTGGCCCCGAGCCCGAAACACCAAATTAAGCCACTGTTGAAACCTCCGGCATCCTTCACCCTTTTTGCTACTGGACTGACGCCTAGCCAACCCTAAACCCAAACAGCCAGCGAGAATACACCGGTGCTTGGAACAGGGCTTTGACTGCGCGAGCCCCGTCTCGTTGCAGAGGCTGCCATGCCCGCAGGCCTTTGGAAGCACACTTTAGTGACGTGACGCTGCCGCTGCCGCTGCCGCTACCGCTGCTGCTGCTGTCGCTGCTGTTGCTGCGTCTGCTGCTACTGGTAATAGTACTAGCTCAGTAGTGCTAGTGCTGGTGCTAGTGCTACTATTACTGCGACTACTACTACTACTACTACTACTACTACTACTGCTACTACTAGTACTGGTACTAGTACT